CAGCCAGCCATCTCCTCCGCAGGCATTGTACACTCGGGGCCCTTTCCCGGAGCCGCTGATCCCTTTCGGCGGGCCTCAGGCAGCTCCGGAGACACCCGAGCTCATGGACGCCTCTGCAGGTAGGACGATGCCCTGCGGACTGGCACCGAGCAGCGTGCCCACTCGATCATAGACTGCGAGACATGTGGGGCACTGCCAAGAGGGGCAGGGGCCCAGCACCTTAAGGCGGTGCTTTCCTCCTGTAACACTAGCCAGAAATTCAAAGGGACAAAACTGCTCCGTGAAAGGCTCCCCCATGTTCAAACTCTGTATGGCCCTGCTCTTCACAGCGCTGCTCCCAAGGGGCTGCAGCAGCCCTCTCCTCCTGCACAATACTGTCTCCCCAGGCACTTGGGTCCCCTCCCGACCGGCACCTCACCTCCAGAGGCACTAGGGTTGCACCGTGCCATGGGCCTGGCTGTGTGCTCCCTCGCGGGAAGTGCCTCTTTGCGTTGTCAGAGGCCAGCACAAAGAGGCTGACAGCCTCTTTCTCCCTGCAGCAGATGCAGGTGCTGCTCTGGAGCGCGCTCCTGCTCTCAGCAGCCCAGCAGCTGAAGCTGCAGAAGACACCCCAGCCGCCGAGGCGCTGCACCAGGTGAGAGGGAGAAGCCCCAGCGGGAGGCACAGAAATGGCCGCTGTGCCTCGGCCTCTCCAGTGCCTGCTCTGCGCGCGCTGCGCAGGAGCCTCTCAGAGCCAGCCCTGGCCATGACGGGCATCTCGCGAGGAAGGAGAAGGGTCCACAAAGGTCCCAGCCGTGCGCCCAACCTTGCGGCTTCTTGCCAACAGCTGCCCATGAATGGAGACGGAGAAGATAGCAAGAAAGAGAAGAGGCAGAAAGTGAAAGGGGAAAGGAAAGGGAATAAATGGAGAGAGAAATGGAGAGAAAAGAAAGAGAGAGAAAAGAAATGTGTGAAAAGAAAGGCGCAAGGAAGGGAGGGCCAAGGAAAAGGCAGAGAAAAGAAGGGAGAAAAAAAGGTGGTGAAAGAAAGGGTGAGAAAAGTGACGACCAAGAAGGGGGTTGACAGGAGGGGCAACAGAGGCAAGAGAGCAAAGAAGGCTGAGATAAGAAAAGAGAGAAGAAAAGGAAGGGGGAGAAGCTAGTGGGAGGAAAAAGAATAAGAGAACCAAGGGGGGAACGGTCAGGGGTGATCAAAAGGGGAATAAAGGCAGAGGGCAAAAAAAGGAGAAAAGGGAGGAAGACGGGGGCAAAAAAATCCTGAGGAAAGAGAGCAAAAATCAAGGGAAGAGGGCAGGTAGAAAGGGTGATGAGAGAAAAGAAGGGGGAAGAAAGGAGAGATAATAAAGCATGAGAAAGGAGGCGGGTGAATGAATAAGGGAGAAAAAGAGGTGATGCAAAGGAGAGAAAAAAGGGAGCAAAGAAAAATGGGAGAAAAAGAGGGGAAAGAATAAAGGGGGAAGAGAATGAGAAGGAAGAGTGGGTGATAAAGGGGAGAGGAAAGAGGAGAGGAAAACTGAGAAGCAAATGGGGAGAATGAAAGGAGCAAAAATGGGAAGAAGGAAGGGGGGAAGAAAGGTGGGACGAAAAAGAGGCAGAGAAATGGGTGGGGAAAGGGAGAGAAAACAAGGGGCAAAGAATGGGGAAATTAGAAAGGGGAAAAAAGGGGGGAGATATAAAGGAGAAGGAAAGGCTGAGAGGGCAAAAAAATCCTGAGGAAAGAGAGCAAAAATCAAGGGAAGAGGGCAGGTAGAAAGGGTGATGAGAGAAAAGAAGGGGGAAGAAAGGAGAGATAATAAAGCATGAGAAAGGAGGCGGGTGAATGAATAAGGGAGAAAAAGAGGTGATGCAAAGGAGAGAAAAAAGGGAGCAAAGAAAAATGGGAGAAAAAGAGGGGAAAGAATAAAGGGGGAAGAGAATGAGAAGGAAGAGTGGGTGATAAAGGGGAGAGGAAAGAGGAGAGCCCAGCCAGGCCTGCGGGCAGCTCTGCACCAGGAGCCGTGGGGCTTTGCATTCACGGCGGTATAACCTCATTGCAATACAGCACTTTTCCACAGGGCTCTTGGATGGCTCCCTGTCTCTGTCTCAAAACTCCAGGCACTACCTGTCTTCCAGCACCTTTGAGACAGTCTTTTGGGTACCAGGGTTGTAGCAGCAGGACAAGGGACTGAGCAGCAGTAGCACTGCCCGTGCTCTTGTTTTAGAGGGCAAGGGGGATTTGGGCAAGTAATGCCTCTGTGTCAGGGGACTGCTGCCACTTGCAAAAGGCGTTGGCCATTCTCAGCAACCTGCAGCTCTTGCATCACGTGGCTTTCAGCTCTCCCTTGCCAAAAGCAGAAGCGTTTTGTCTTGGTAGCGCACGTGGGCAGGAAGAGACCGGCCACACAGCTGGTGCTGTGGAAGGTTTCAGGGGCCACAGAAGTTGCAAGCCGGAGCTTCCAACCACTTTCAAGCACAAACACACAGATTTCCTTGGGACTAGCTCCCAGCGTTTGACTGCGACCAGCGTGGGAGTCCCAGGAACAGACAGTGCTCCTTTAGTGGCCTGTAAGCACCTCAGGACACACAGGAGCAGCAGCCTAGGCACTTCCCCAGGGAGAAGGGTGTCTCTCTTCGGGCTCAGGGCGGTGACCCGTCAAGGCCAACATGACAGTCACGCTCAGCAAGCTGAGCCCGAATCTACCTGCTTTGGGAGAAGGAAAGAGGTCTTTGTCCTTTGGAGCCCCTTTGGCTCCTTTGGGAGCCCCTTTCAAGGCACATGCAGCAAGCAGAAATGTGCAGGTTGGAAGGGACTGCTGCAGCTCCTCTCATGCATCCTCTTGCTCCCGCAGCATATCCTAGAGCAGCCTGCCCCAGAACATGCCCAGGTACCTCCTGTGTGTCTGTAACCTCCTGCTCCAGCAGTCAGTTTTTGACCTCCCTAAACAGTACACAACTGGTGCTCCATATATGTTTGATAGGAGAGGCAGTACCTTTTTTAATCCTTTCTACATGCTTGCAAGTTATGTGCAGGATATAAGTATTTTTACATTATTTTTTATGCCTTAGCCCTTACCCGTTCATCCATTTTTGTGTGGCATATATGTGTTTTTATCCTCTCTTTATCCATTAATACATGTATTTTTTCCTTTCCTCCTCCTACTGCCCCAATGGTCTGTGGCTATCCCACCTCCTGCTGCTACAACTCTTGAGCTCTGCAAAGTAGCCAACAAGTCAGTGCTGGCTCAGCCTCAGCATAAACCAGATGCTCGTTTCAGTAGCCGACCTGCTCTTTAATTAAAGCTCTATAAGTAGTATGTTTTAAAAATAAAAATAGAAAAGAATATCCATTTTTCTTTTGTGTCAAAAGGCTGGTAAAAGTACTGCAGCCTGCAATATTCAGACGCCAGAGGGCTGAGTTTTACACCACAGGTTCACCTGAAATCCATTGTGTCGGTGAGCAGAGGCCCCTCTCCCTCCCGCGTGAATATAGCAGTAACATTTTTTTTCCTGTCTCTGGCCATTAAGCAGTCACAGTGAGCCTACCAAGCTACTGCTGTGATATCCATGTGACTTTTCCCTTCTGAGAGAGACATGAGGCGCTCTCTGAAGGCTCACACTTTATTATTTTGCACCAAGCAAGGCTTAGAAAATAGTGCACACTTGCTTAGCGATGATGGGAAGATCACTGCATGGTCCCTCTACTTCTTCAGAGGCAGGAACCTTGAGGACAGATCATCTTCAGAGAACCATTTTTTGTTTTCTTTCTCATCTACTTCTCAGGCCTTGCAGTACACATCATATTTCATGCTGGCTGACAGCTTTGTTCCTCTTAGACTTTCATGAAATTTTCGGTCCATTTCTTCATTCTGAGCTTTAGAGAAATATTTTCTCCAGTTCCCAATAACTCCTGTATACCACAAGAAGTAACAAGGGTTGAAGATGGTCACTACTGAGAAAGGATGATAACTTGTCAGACTCACCACTGACATCAGGCAAAAAGGAGCTGCTTTATGTTCCAAGAGGCCTGATTGCTTGACAAGGCAGGTCAGCAAGGGCAGAAAAACAATGGCTCCTGCCAGGTTGTAGAGAGCAACCCTTGCTGGCAGGCTGCATACCTTTTCTCCTCAGGAGAGGTTTCCAGGGTGGTTTTGTGATTTTATTTTCCAAAGTGTCAGCTCCTTTCCTAAGGCACAAAGGCTTGGGTTGGCCTTTCTTTGTACATCACAACCCGGTCTTCTTCCCATCCAGATTCAGACTCAGCCTTACCACCCAACTGCCCACAAGAACACCATGCTACCATTTGTCCACAAAGAGGAACCATCCACCACATACAATGATGCATAACTGTTTGCATAACTTATACCAATGAATACTGAGTGCTAGTCTCTGTCTTCACACTGTACTTGCTGATTGACCAGGGCTGCCACAGAGAAATGTAGCAACACAGTTTACCAAGGGAAGCAATGACAGAATATAGCAAGTCAGGATAGCTGAGGCACTTATGTATGCACCCCACTAGCAGCAATACTCTTTTCCACAGCAGATGTTCATTGTACAAGATGGCCAGGTGACACCACACCGTTATATATGCTTCGGCATTAGCTCAGTGGGCCATGGCTAAGTGAGATGGACCAATTGGAAAGGGACTTAAAAGGCAACTTCTCCACTTGCAGACACTTACCCTTACGGAAGAGAATGTCCCCAAATTTCCCATGAGTTTCCTTGGATTTCTCTTTCATGGCTTGGAAACTGGTCTTTTTGACAATTCTGTGAAAATCTTCCTCACTTAGGGAGAATCCAAAGAAGGCAGCAATCTTCTTCATTCCCACTATCTGATTCTGGTCAAAGGAACATAGCGCAGTGATTAAACCAAAGACCTCAGCACCTTACCACTGATATCAAACCAACTTCTGGCCTGGCAGAACAGGGGTACCTCCCACAGCAATATCCAGGAATTGTAAGGACTTGCAACAGAGAGGACATCCACAGAAAGCAGCCTCAGCTACAAGGCTTTCTCTTCTCTCCTGTAAGTAACTGCACAAAAATGGCTACTTCTGAAGAGAGGGAAAGCTGCCCTCCTCCTACCCCCCATGGGCCTCCCATACGTGCACAAGAATAGCTCAGAAAGACTTGATCTCCTCATGGGGTGTGTAGGTTTGATCCAAGACTTTCTTCCTGCTCATAGTGATGCATATAAAGGGAGCTGTGCAGTGTGTGCATGAAGATCCAGGCAAGACACCTCACCTCTTTCAAGTCCTCATAGCTTATCACCATGATCTTCTCATTGTCAATAAACTTGTTCCATTCCATTAAATGATCGAAGTAGGAGCCCCATCCCACTGTGGACAAAAGCAAGAGTCATAGTCATGCAGATTAAAGCCCCCTCAACCCTGCTCTGCAAAAGGAGCCCAACCAAGAGAAACAGCCTAGAGAGATATCTAAGAAGGACACCAGGATCATGAAATGAGCAGAGCAACTCTGTTGTTCTGGCTGAGATCAACATGGGATCGCCTCAGCTCTAGTCATTAGGTAGCAGTGAATGCCCTTGGAGATGTTTGGAAAGGGATGCTGGACTGCGATTTCCAGGACCATGCCCCTGACGTGGAGAATGCCCGAGGAAAGAAGGGAACGTACATTTCCCATTCATGAAAGCTATGAAGAACTCATCCCATGAGGCGAAGGAGGGCAACATGGGCAAGCTGTTGTTGAAGTGGTAGTAGGAGACGGCTGTGTCTTTGGGGTTCCGAACCAGCACAAGGACCTGGCAGAAGAAAACGCGTTATTTGGTTGGGATTTGGTGACTGGGCAAACACTAAGTTACTAATAATTCATGGCTATGAATACCTACAAGGATTGTACAGTGTGGACAATGCTGGTCTAATTTCTTCTCCCTAGAAAGAAATCAGAGCCTTGGCAGGCTGCTTACTGCTAATGTGAGTATCAGGGTGTCAGCAAGACACTTTTCAGTTTTCAGCAATGTCTTTGGGACACACCTCTGAGCTCACTCCAGTCAAGAGGAATGATCTCTTGTGCTACTGACCAAGACACCCATGAAAGGGCTGTAGGTTCACCCATGCTTCTCAGTGCACCAACCCTGTTGAAGAAGGCCTTAGCCCCAGTTTGTTGTGGGCTTAGCACCAGCACCTGACTCTTAGAGGCAAGCTAAGGCCCTGCTTAGTTTCCCAGCACAAATTTGGAATCACCTTTCTGTTGATATTTGAGGGGGGCAGTGACATCCAACTATAAGCACAGCACCACTTGAGCCAGCACAACTGCCATTGAGAGAGAATGTGTGTTCATAGCCTCAACACACTGAGAGCTGCTCCTTCACCTTCGGAAACATCCCCGAGCATTGAACAGCCCAGGAGGAACTGCAGGAAACCCATTTCACATAGGCAGCGGAAAGCTAATTTGGAGTAGAAATGCTTTTGCAATGTGACCCGGAGAGAGGACTTACCTTAGCTTTGCTTTGGAAAAAGGACATTGGCAGGAGATGAGGTGGGAGATGGGTTAATATGATTCTTCTGGAAGGCAGTTTCTTCATTCTCTTTAAAGGAAGTGGAAAGAAAAAGGAGAGAAGTCACTTACTCAGTGGAAATCTGCGATTTCAGGAATCATGGGTAATGGGGAAAGGTGAGACCAGAGAAGAAGGATTCTATCTTTTGGGAAGCCAATAGGGATGCATTAGAGGGGTAAGCTTCTGGCGGTTTCTGCCACAGCTTCACAGGAGATGGACCAAGGACAGCACACCCATGATATGTGCTCTTTAGGAATGACAGGCTGGGAAGGTGAGGTGGTGGAGTTGCTCTTTATGTGAGAGAGCAACTGGAATGCGTGGAGCTCAACCTGGGAGTGGATGGTGAGCAAGTTGAAAGCTTGTGGGTAAGGGTTAAAGGACAGGCTAATGTGGGAGACACTGTGGTGGGTGTCTGCTACAGGCCGCCTGACCAGCATGAGGAAGTTGATGAGGCCTTCTATAGTAAGCTGGATGTTGCCTCACGGTCACAGGCCCTGGTTCTCATGGGGGACTTCAACTACCCTGACATCAACTGGAAGGACAACACAGGCAGGCACAAACAGTCCTGGAAGTTCCTGCATTGCGTTGATGTTAACTTTTTAACGCAGGTTGTGGAGGAGCCAACAAGGAGAGGTGGGCTACTGGACCTCGTGCTAACAAACAGAGAGGGACTTGCAGGAGATGCGAAGGTAGGGGGTAGCCTTGGCTGTAGTGACCATAAGTTGATGGAGTTCAGGATCCAACGAGGAGGAGGCAGGGCTGTAAGTAGCCTTGCAACCATGGACTTCAGGAGCGCCAACTTTAGCCTCTTCAGAGACCTCCTTGGAAGAATCCCATGTGGGGGGTGTGTATAGAGGTGATTAGTGTTCAAGCAGCACTTCCTCCACGCTCAGCAGCAGTGCATCCCTGTGTGTAAGAAATCAGGCAGAGAGGGCAGGACACCTGCGTGGCAGGAGCTTGTGGCAATGCTCAAGCAGAAGAAGGCGGTATACAGAATGTGGAAGAAAGGACAGGCCCCCTGGAAGAAATACAGGAACATTGTCAAGGAATGCAGAAATGAGACAAGGAAAGCTAAGGCACATCTGGAATGCAATCTGGAAAGGGATATTAAAAACAATATCAAAAATGTCTTCAAATATATTAACAG